CTGCCCTGCGCGTACGCCAGCCACACCGACTTGAAACACGGTCACACATCACCAGCACGGACAGAAGAAGCCTCGCCTCGGGTCCCCCCCGCCTTGATGGGGCTGTCACCACCACGATCGCCGTCGTCACCATCACCACCATCACCATCCCCACCACTCACCATCACCACCATCAACCACCCCGTCACCATCATCACCACCCCATCACCATCACTCACCTCCCCACCACTCACCACCACTCACCATCACCGCCCCGTCACCATCACCACCCCATCGCAGTGCCGGGAGCGCCGCAAATCCTCCCAGGTCGCCGCGCCGCTTCAGCTCTCACGCCTCCCCCCCTCTCCTCTCTCTCTTCCAGACAGATCCACGATCTATTCACTTCTGTGTAGCAGCGATGGCCATCGAGAACGGCGCAGTCTCTAGCAACTCCAGCAGCAGCAGCAACTCCAGCAGCAACAACAACTCCAACAACTCCAGCAGCAACAACTCCAGCAGCAAGAGCGCAGGGACAGCAGCAGCAGCAGCGGCGGTGGTGGCGGCTTTGCTGACCGCAAGCAAAGTCCCCGCGACTCAGCGGAGCTCCCCGTGACGTCACGGCCCGTGATTTCCTCTGACATCACCACTCACCTCCCCACCCCTCCCCATCACTCACCATCACTCACCTCCCTCCCCATCACTCACCACCACTCACCTCCCTCCCCATCACTCACCTCCCCCCCCCCCCATCACTCACCATCCCTCACCTCCCTCCCCATCACTCACCATCCCTCACCTCCCTCCCCATCACTCACCACCACTCACCTCCCTCCCCATCACTCACCTCCCCCCCCCCCATCACTCACCATCCCTCACCTCCCCATCACTCACCTCCCCACCCCTCCCCATCACTCACCATCCCTCACCTCCCTCCCCATCACTCACCATCCCTCACCTCCCTCCCCATCACTCACCTCCCCACCCCTCCCCATCACTCACCATCCCTCACCTCCCTCCCCACCCCTCCCCATCACTCACCATCCCTCACCTCCCTCCCCATCACTCACATCAATCACCTCCCCACCCCTCCCCATCACTCACCATCCCTCACCTCCCTCCCCATCACTCACCATCACTCACCTCCCCACCCCTCCCCCCATCACTCACCATCACTCACCTCCCTCCCCATCACTCACCATCACTCACCATCACTCACCTCCATCCATCACTCACCATCACTCACCTCCCTCCATCACTCACCATCACTCACCTCCCCCCCCCCCATCACTCACCATCCCTCCCCATCCCTCCCCATCACTCACCATCACTCCCCATCCCTACCTTCTAATCACTCACATCCCCATCCCTCCCTCTCCATCACTCCCTCACCATCACTGAAATCCCCATCGCCTCCCCATCACTCATCTCTCTATGACTCACCTCCCCATTACTCATCTCCCCATCCCTCCATTCCTATCACTCCACCATCACTAAGTTCGCCATATCTCCCCATCACCATTCTCCCCATCCCTGCCTCACTATCACTCGCATCCCTCATCACTCACCTCCCCATCCCTCCCTTCCCATCCCTCCCCATCACTCCCCATCACTCACCTCCCCACCCCTCCTTCCCTCCCCATCACTTACCTCCCCACCGCTCTTTCCCTCCCCGTCACTCCCCATCCCTCACCTCCGCACCCCTCCCCATCACTCACCATCACTCACCTCATCAACCCTCCCTCCCCATCCCTCCCTCACCATCACTCAATTCCCCATCCCTACCTTCTAATCACTCACATCCCCATCCCTCCCTCCCCATCCCTCCCTCCCCATCACTCACCTCATCCCTCCCTCCCCACAACTCTCATCCCCATCCCTCTATCATAGAAGATACTACATGTACAATTAATGTACAGTGGAATAATCAAATATTATTTCACTCTGCTACTAAATCAATGTTTAAAAGCCTCACTGCTGATGTGACCCCAAATGTCGAAACCAGTCCAGAGTTTGTTTAAAGAAATGCTACTGGAGAATCCATAATACAGGTATTTTTTTGGGGTTATATCGTGTAAATATATAAATGTGTCGTTAAACCCGCCACCACCCAACACAGCCAATTGGTAAGGTTTGTCACGTAAACAGAACATGACAATTCGTCACTAGTACAGCACACCGGTGTGTTGGAGAGCAAAGCCACAACATTTACAATCTGAGCACGACGTTTCGCCAGTAATTAGAACTAGCAAACTCTTTTCAGAAGCGACCTGGCCACGAATGATAGCTCAATGAAGTGGCTTATCGTGCGATGTTAACTTCAAGTGCATTTATTTGGTATAGCCCTGTGAGCCATTCGGCTCTTGAATCGTGTGCAACCGCAACAAACTAAAACATGAACAAGAAAACATTTAAAGTTACTATGCGCAAACAGAAAAATTCACAAAAAAACTGCAAAGTCTTCCGGAAAAAAAGCACCGTACACCAACGCTGTGCAAAAATCCCAGTGGGACGCAAGTCAAACAACAACAACCACAAGACAACTTAGATTAAAGCCATCAGTCTAACTCCGTACTACAACAAACAAACATGGCCAAACCAAAATACTTTTCGAAAATCACCAAAATAAAGCCATAAAAGCAATGAAACAGTGATCATAGGAACTGTGACCGAATTTTCACAATACATGACATAAACATAATGTACCACCAAACCCTGCAGCCATAGCTGGCTGCATGAGTCACTCCACAACAGCAGGAGCATCAATACAGGAGGTCGGGGGTTCAATCCCGACCCTGGCGACGCCTACTGCTGCTGTATGTTTGTAGTCTGCTGCTGCTGCATGTTTGTAGTCTGCTGCTGCTGCATGTTTGTAGTCTGCTGCTGCTGTATGTGTGTAGTCTGCTGCTGCTGCATGTTTGTAGTCTGCTGCTGCTGCATGTTTGTAGTCTGCTGCTGCTGCATGTTTGTAGTCTGCTGCTGCTGTATGTGTGTAGTCTGCTGCTGCTGTATGTTTGTAGTCTGCTGCTGCTGCATGTTTGTAGTCTGCTGCTGCTGCATGTTTGTAGTCTGCTGCTGCTGTATGTGTGTAGTCTGCTGCTGCTGCATGTTTGTAGTCTGCTGCTGCTGTATGTTTGTAGTCTGCTGCTGCTGTATGTTTGTAGTCTGCTGCTGCTGTATGTGTGTAGTCTGCTGCTGCTGTATGTTTGTAGTCTGCTGCTGCTGCATGTTTGTAGTCTGCTGCTGTATGTTTGTAGTCTGCTGCTGCTGCATGTTTGTAGTCTGCTGCTGCTGTATGTGTGTAGTCTGCTGCTGCTGTATGTTTGTAGTCTGCTGCTGCTGTATGTGTGTAGTCTGCTGCTGCTGTATGTTTGTAGTCTGCTGCTGCTGTATGTTTGTAGTCTACTGCTGCTGTATGTGTGTAGTCTGCTGCTGCTGTATGTTTGTAGTCTACTGCTGCTGCATGTTTGTAGTCTGCTGCTGCTGTATGTTTGTAGTCTACTGCTGCTGCATGTTTGTAGTCTGCTGCTGCTGTATGTTTGTAGTCTGCTGCTGCTGTATGTTTGTAGTCTGCTGCTGTATGTTTGTAGTCTGCTGCTGTATGTTTGTAGTCTGCTGTATGTTTGTAGTCTGCTGTATATTTGTAGTCTACTGCTGCTGCTGTATGTGTGTAGTCTGCTGCTGCTGCATGTTTGTAGTCTGCTGCTGCTGTATGTTTGTAGTCTGCTGCTGCTGTATGTGTGTAGTCTGCTGCTGCTGTATGTTTGTAGTCTGCTGCTGCTGTATGTTTGTAGTCTGCTGCTGCTGTATGTGTGTAGTCTGCTGCTGCTGTATGTTTGTAGTCTGCTGCTGCTGTATGTGTGTAGTCTGCTGCTGCTGTATGTTTGTAGTCTACTGCTGCTGTATGTGTGTAGTCTGCTGCTGCTGTATGTGTGTAGTCTGCTGCTGCTGTATGTTTGTAGTCTACTGCTGCTGCATGTTTGTAGTCTGCTGCTGCTGTATGTTTGTAGTCTACTGCTGCTGCATGTTTGTAGTCTACTGCTGCTGTATGTGTGTAGTCTGCTGCTGCTGTATGTTTGTAGTCTACTGCTGCTGCATGTTTGTAGTCTGCTGCTGCTGTATGTTTGTAGTCTGCTGCTGTATGTTTGTAGTCTGCTGCTGTATGTTTGTAGTCTGCTGTATGTTTGTAGTCTGCTGTATGTTTCTAGTCTACTGCTGCTGCTGTATGTTTCTAGTCTGCTACTGCTGCTGTATGTTTCTAGTCTGCTACTGCTGCTGTATGTTTCTAGTCTACTACTGCTGCTGTATGTTTCTAGTCTGCTACTGCTGCTGTATGTTTGTATCTACTACTGCTGCTGTATGTTTGTATCTACTGCTGCTGTATGTTTCTATCTACTACTGCTGCTGTATGTTTGTATCTACTGCTGCTGTATGTTTATAGTCTACTACTGCTGCTGTATGTTTGTATCTACTGCTGCTGCTGTATGTTTGTATCTACTGCTGCTGTGTGTTTGTAGTCTTCGTGTCGCTCTCCCCGTGGTCGCATGGATTGTTTTTCCTCCGGGTCCTCCGGTTTTCCCTCCACGTTTATAAACATGCATTGAGATTTAGATGATGTTGCTGCTATACATTTCCACGTGATACGTTACTCTGTTGAGCTATAATTTGTGGCCAGGTCGCTGCTGATCAAATAAGTTGATAACCTCAGTGGGATTTACCTGATAAGATAAAAAAAATAGTTTTATTTGTAGAACATTTTAAGTAATTTGGTTACCTTTCCTATACATTGCGCTCCTATCGTGTTTTTTTATCGTGTGTTGTAGTAATGTTCTGACTCGCCCCTACTGGAAATCTGTAAATAAAAATCGCTTTATAGCTCATCGGATTTCTTCTGCAGTCTCAATGCAGATTGTGACGCTCAAGTAGGGGGAGGGGGCGTGGCCTCGGTTAGTTTACTCTCGCGTCATTGGTCAAGACGCGCCGCTTGCCGGAGAATCAGCCAATGGGGAGCGAGATCTCTGTCTCCAGGCGCACGCTTAGCAACGGCGTGAGGACGCGTCGCGCTATTAATGTTTAACCGGGCCCCAATCATTCACTCCCACGCGTTACACCACAACTATTAGCACGTACTACTACTACTACTAGTGTTACTGCTACAGTTATTGCCTATTGCAGGCGATTAAGCGCTGCGTTATGAGCTGGCGTCGTGAGTAGAAACCCTCGGGGTTCGTGCTCCTGCAAGCTCAACAGGGCCGTTGCAGTGGTGAGTGGCCTGCAGTGATTTGTGTTCAACTTGTGTTCACATTCATACCCCCCTCGTCGACCCGTCTCCTGTGTGTGCGATACAGATTCACTTGTGAGCACAGTAACAACATCTATTACAGTAAAGGTGTATCTTCAAAACAAGCAATAGTTGTTACTATACAACGTGGTCCAGATGTCTTGTGACCCGAATTTAATTCTCTAAAACTTTATATTTTTGAAGTAAGGTTTCTTTAAAACAGAAATGAATATGCAAAGGGGGGGAAATGTGAGGGGTAAATTAATTGTGGGTCACACGACATCTGGACCACCATTTACAGTGATTGGTGAATGCCCCCGCCATCAGCAGCCAGCAATTGACCAAAGTGGTGAGTTGTGGTCAAATACCACCCATCATCCAGCAGTGGGTTGACACGGACACTCAGAGTGTGTCATTACACTCTACAAGATTCTGGTCAAATACCACCCATCATCATCCAGCAGTGGGTTCACATGGACACTCAGAGTGTGTCATTACACTTTACAAGATTCTAGTCAAATACCACCCATCATCATCCAGCAGTGGGTTCACATGGACACTCAGAGTGTGTCATTACACTCTACAAGATTCTGGTGAAATACCACCCATCATCATCCAGCAGTGGGTTGACACGGACACTCAGAGTGTGTCATTACATTTCGATTTAAAGCTTTCGTGACTGCAGGGATTCATCTTCTTGGTTCTTTCGGTAAAGTCACGTAGAAGGGAAGTAATAAAATAATAAAAATAAAACATAATAAAACAATTCTCACGACGTTTCGGCCACAACGCAAGCAGCCGTCCTCAGGTGAAAACCAGGTCCGTCAGACTCTGTCGCCTCGACGGACCTGGTTTTCACCTGAGGACGGCTGCTTGCGTTGTGGCCGAAACGTCGTGAGAATTGTTTTATTATGTTTTATTTTTATTATTTTATTACTTCCCTTCTACGTGACTTTACCGAAAGAACCAAGAAGATGTGTCATTACACTTTACAAGATTCTAGTCAAATACCACCCATCATCATCCAGCAGTGGGTTCACATGGACACTCAGAGTGTGTCATTACACTCTACAAGATTCTGGTCAAATACCACCCATCATCATCCAGCAGTGGGTTCACATGGACCCTCAGACTGTGTCATTACACTTTACAAGATTCTAGTCAAATACCACCCATCATCATCCAGCAGTGGGTTCACATGGACACTCAGAGTGTGTCATTACACTCTACAAGATTCTGGTCAAATACCACCCATCATCATCCAGCAGTGGGTTCACATGGACCCTCAGACTGTGTCATTACACTTTACAAGATTCTGGTCAAATACCACCCATCATCATCCAGCAGTGGGTTCACATGGACACTCAGAGTGTGTCATTACACTCTACAAGATTCTGGTCAAATACCACCCATCATCATCCAGCAGTGGGTTCACATGGACCCTCAGACTGTGTCATTACACTTTACAAGATTCTAGTCAAATACCACCCATCATCATCCAGCAGTGGGTTCACATGGACACTCAGAGTGTGTCATTACACTCTACAAGATCAGTCAAAGCAACGCGTCTTCTTTGCGCAGTGATCTGGTAATATCGTAGTGTCGGAACCAACAACTGCAGGACCTGATCTGGAGTGCACATTGGCGTTTGGAGATATAAAGACGGCCCGCGCGTGGTGTTGGTGATCCTGGCATGAGAGTGCTGTACTGGACTTAAGAGGTGCTCGAAAATGACCAGCGCGGGTGCTCCATGCGGCTCATAACTCGGCGTAAGGTTGCAGCTCGAGTCGGCATTGATTTCGTGTACATTGCAGTGTTACTTCTGTTGCCTATTACCACCAATTCGTCCACCTCGCCAGATCATGGAAGTTCGCAGCTGTGAGCCTCATTATACAGGGTGGCCCAAAGTCCGGATACATCGGGTTATTATATTTATTTTAACAAATGGCACGTGCTTATTTGATTTATTTAAGCACATTTTCAAACTGGCTTCCTTTAGCATTAATGCACGCATGAATTATCTTCTGAAATTAATTTACAACTTCTTGTTAAGATTACAGGTTTCATTTTTTTCACGTTGATCAATGCTGTCTCAAATCATTCCGCGTTCTCGGTCTAGTTTTGCAAACGTCGGATCTGAAGTGACCCCACAGGAATAAGAAATATCGATATTATAAATGGGAGTAAAATATTAAACCAAAGAAAAACAATTACAATTTTTGAATGCCAGTGTTTAAATAAATTAAATGACCCTACGTGTCCTGACTTTTGGGCCATCCTATATGTATGGTTCTTGCATGGGCGAGCACCGTTCATCACGGGTATTGTAGGCTTTCAGGATACGTTATTACCAGAGGGCAGTGAAAAAAAGCCATAGATGTACTCTATTAGGCTCCAACGTATATGATTATTTAATCACACCACAACCATCGTGGTGAAGTTTGGTTAAATAACCCCCCCCCCCATGACCCGCATGGCGTGGAGGAGTCTTTTATCCATCTCAGCTGTTCTGAGAGGTGGACATTCCACATTTCTATGACAGGCAATTCAATGTTCTTTAGTGCACACCTCGAAGAGTAATACTTTGCCCAAGTGCTGTTCGTGAGCAGATGTTATGGCAGGAACTGCACTCAAGAGGGGTGGTGTCGCTAGAATTACACCAGCAGTGATTTTCACAACGGATACCAGGCACTCATTTAAGACTGAGTCACCTGTGGGGATACCCCGACCAAGTTAAAATGCCCCTTTTACATCATATCCCACTATGTTTTGTTTTACCATACATATTTTAATAAACAGTGTAAACGTGTTTTGCTCACTATGCTGAAATTGGTGAAATTCACCCTTGCTACTTAATGCGGCTTTGATTTTAAAATGTATTTAATATTGAAATTAACAACGTAATGTGATTGTCAGTTTCTTGAATAACCAATTGGAATCGCACGATTTCAAATCAGTTCGGTGGTTGACCCAGCCCATCCTTTCTCTGGGGGAATGATAAAATTAGTACCACTTTGTGGGAAGCCAACTTTTGTTTCCTTAATTTAACACGTAGGCTTTCGCAACCAATTTCATCCATAATAGAGGCTGTGTCGGGTGGTGGCGGGTTTAACGACACATTTATATATTTACGCGATCTAACAAAAAAAAACTACTTTGTTTCCATGTGTAAAAACTGTCCCCCACCAATTTTGTGATGTACTTTGTGTTGGAATTCGTAGATAAATGTAATTGTGTTTTTATACTGTATATATATAAATGTACGGTACACAGATAAACAAGTGTGTGCATATTTTACAGAAATTTCTGAAAAGCACTAGGGATAGGTCCTAGGTTAGGTTACAGTATTACTGGAGAATCCTAAGTTTCAGTCGGGAGCACTGTAGCTCTTAGGCCAGCCATAAATAATGCAAGTTCAATAGATCAATCCTCGTGTCGAACGAGGAGTAGGATTTGTGCACATCGCTGGCAGGTAATGGTGATGGTACTTTACTGAAACGGAACACGCTGAGATCCTGAGTAACAGAAAATCGATATCAGCATGTTTTCTAGGTGCAGGGATTGTGCCTAACAGCTTGGAAAGGTGGATCAGATAGATCAGTTTCTTACCATCTGCTTAGTCCGTTTAAATATACATCTCTGGGAATAAATGTACAGTACAGTATACAGATTGTCCATAAGTGACGAGGGTGAGACCAACAACTCACAACAGAAGAGAACTCAGTTTCATCACAGGCAGCTGCCAAGGATATAATCCCAAGATGCAGACATGCCAGCTCAGTCCTCTGACCTCTAAGCCACTCGGCAATCTCCTAAATCAGTGTCTCTTAAATCGCATGATGCTTTGTAATTGTTATTCCATAGAACTGACTCATGTCTCAGACCCATGTCTAACCTATGCACTTGGTATAGCTTCAATGTTGCCGTATATCTGTCATAACATGAGCAATATGTAGACAACATTGATCATCTTACGTTTCCAGATATTGGCTTGAGTTAAATATTTCCTGCATGTATTTTTAGCAGTGCCGTACAGTCGTGTACTATGTTACCATCTATTTGTTTCTGAAGGCAAGTAAGTCTTTATGGAAAATGTTTTTAATTCATGCCCTTGTGTTAAAACTATTCACAAATATAGTCGTAATATGTAGGTAAAATCAACTTGTGTGGCCTGTATTACCATTGCATTTTTAAGGAGTATCGAGCTGGAGCTATATTGTAGGTAGTTCAGGTTTATTATATGTATACTCTTTGGTTCTTTCGGTAAAGTCACGTAGGTATAAAATAAATCACGACGTTTCGGGCAAAACACAAGCGTCCATCATCAGGTGGGAAAGCATGGTCTGCTGCTGAGGCAGACTGTTTTAAAAGGTGTGAAATGGGTGTAGCTCAAGGGTCATACAGAAGTGGCCGGGGCTAGTGATGTTAATGTGAGAAATTAGCGTGGAACTGTAAGAGAGGAGGAGAGCGGCCTCCTCGACGACTGGCCCCCACCACAGGAATGTGGAATTTTCACAACTGGTTCAGGCGCTGTCGGAGATGAATGCTACTTCGTTGCTCTTTGAGCAGGAAGACGTTTTGACTGTGGCTTATTCATGAGTGAAAATATGAGGACTGTCACATGACCCGTGAAATGAGAATGCCAAATTTTATCTCGAGTGTTCCTTGCTTGGAGCATGTTTATCATCTAACATCCTGCGCACACCCGACACAGCACTCCCACTACATTCCGAGTGTGTGTGCTCAGCAAAATACGTACTCTTTATATGCTGTTCATATTTTATGTACAGGATTACAAAGTAGGTATAATGTGGAAAAACATTAAATATCAGCATATGAAAAATCTTAATTCTTAAATGAGCATTGGCAGGCCTGAGCCATTATTAGCAATTCCACATTGATATGGCATGGGCCATTATTTCTGTAGAATCACCTCTATTCCCACAAAAGTGCGGCTCAATTTTATCAGCCTGGAATTGATG